TTCAAGCATCAATCACACATCCAACATCACAGCTGACATGGGAATGTCAGCTATGATGTTTTTTCTTGCCTGATTGACTATAAGAAGGCTTTCGATAGAGTCAGGCGTGAACAAATGATGGAAGTGCTGAAGAGGACAGGGATTGACGAAAGAGACCTAAAAATAATAGCTAACTTGTATTGGAATCAATCAGCGCAGCGTTGCTCCGAATAGATGGAGAATATACAAATCAGGTCTAAATCTTAAGGGGAGTGAGACAGGGGTGTATAATTTCACCACTGATATTCAATCTTTCGTGGACAGAGAAACAAGTATATAAATTAAAAAGATAGTAATATTGTATGCACTAAAGAACACCAGAAATGGAAAAAGCCTGGTGCCAGATCAGCTGCCTATTGATATCCTTAAAATGATAGAAAATGAGTACATGGATGTCCTCTTAAAGCTCTTTAATGAAATTTAACAATCGGTTGACTTACCCAATGAATGGTTGACGACATTTATTTGTCTCCCAAAACAGAAAAATGTTGGAGAATGCACCGACCACCGCACCGTAAGCCTTATGTCTCACACACTTAAAAAGTTTTTGAAGATCATCCATAAACACTTTTACCATATATTTGATATGGATGAAACCCAATTTGGATTCCGAAGAGATGTAGGTATCCGTGAAGCTCATCCAGAGATACTTGGTTATGAACCAAGATATGTACGTTTGTTTCATAGATTATAACAAGGCTTTCGATAAAATCCGCCACAAAGAGCTAATGGACGTCCTCAAAGCAAAACAATTACAACACCATATCCTTCGAATTATAACAAACCTAGGTATATTATAAACAGCAGGTATACATATACGTTAATGAACACACATCAGAAGAGTTCGAAGTTAGAAGAGGAATGCGACAGGTGTGTGCATTATCACCACTACTATTCAATGTATACTCTGAAGAAATTATGAAAAGTTCTTGAGGAAGAAACAGCAGGAATAAATGTCAATGGAACACAAATTAACAACATTAGATATGCAGACGATACGATCATAATAGTAGACAACCTCCAAGACCTCCAAAAGCTATTGAACAAGATAGTTGAGTATGGAGAAGAATATGGATTATCAATAAACATAAAATAAAACAGAGTCAACAAAAGAATGGAAATGGAAACCATCAAGACACGAAAGCTGCAATACCTGGGGCATGTTATGCGTAATGAAAGATACAACATACTTCAATTAATTATACAAGGGAAAATCGAGTGCAAGACAAGTGTAGGAGAAGAATCCCATGGTTGCCTAACTTGAGGAAATGTTACGGATGCACATCAATCAAACGATTCAGAGCGGCAGCATATAAGATCAGAATGGTCATGATGATTGCCAACCTCCGTCGCGGAGATGGCAAGTAAAGAAAAAGATCTTATGCGTATATAATGTATCTAATGGTCAACGTGGTAGGAGTGATGGTAGGAATCTGTATGCTTTGTCTAAGGAGAGGCTGGTAAAAGATATATTGCATTTTATGATGTGATGTTAGATATTACGGGAATTCAGATTGAAGTGGTTCAGAAATGAAAGATTCTGGAAAGGGAAGAATTTTTAGAATCCTTGAGAGGCTTCAACCTGCATAAGAAACTTAAATATACTGCCGGAATTAGAAAACAGAAAAATGCTCACATACTTAAAAGCGCGGACGGAAAAATTTGTTATCACGAACAACAGTGCAAAGAATGGGAGAGATACATCACTGACCTTTTTGACGATGCTTCTATGGAAAATGCTCCAAATACTGCCTATGACAACCAGTTGGACAGAGGTCCCAATATACTGAATTCGGAAGTCGAAAAGGCAATACAGCAAGCCAAAAACAATAAAGCACCTGGACCAGATCAAATCCCTGCCGAACTACTTAAACTTTTGGATGAGGAAAGCATTGCCTGCTTAACCACTTTCTTCAACAAAATTTACAACGAAGGAAAAATACCAGATGATTGGTTAGAGTCACTGTTTATAACATTACCAAAAAAAAGCAGGCCCACCAAATGCAGCGATTTTAGACTAATCAGTTTGATGAGTCACACACTGAAGATACTCTTACGAATTATGCAAAACCGAGTATTCCTTCTATGCGAAAGTAAGATGGGTGATAAGCAATTTGGATTTAGAAACGGTCTAGGAACTAGAGAGGCACTATTCTGTATGCGCGTTCTTTTACAAAAAAGTTGTGAAGTCCGAAAGAATGTTTATGTTTGTTTCATCGACTTCGAGAAGGCGTTCGACAGAGTCCAACACAATACACTTTTCGACTGCCTATGGGCAGCAGGACTTGACCACTATGATATAAGACTGCTGAAATACTTATATTACAATCAAGTAGCCTGTATCCAAATTGGAGACAGTCCCACTGAAAAAATACGCATCAAACGTGGAGTACGGCAGGGTTGTGTTTTGTCACCCACTCTTTTTAATCTGTACTCTGAAGAAATCTTTAGGGAGGCTTTGGATGACAGACAAGAGGGAATAAGACTAGGTGGAGAAGTAATCAACAATATTAGATACGCTGACGATACAGCCATTCTTGCAGAAAGTTTACAAGATCTCCAAACATTACTAAATCTAGTCAGTGAAGCAAGTTATCGGAGAGGCCTAAAAATCAACATTTCAAAGACAAAGTGGATGGCAGTTGGAAAGATCCATATAGATCAAGGTCTGCTTTCTCTTAATGGAGAAGAGATAGAAAGGGTAAATCATTTCAAATACCTTGGCAGCTGATTAAATGTAAATTGTGACTCTGATGAAGAGATAATATCCAGGATCGAAATATCACGTAAGGCTTTTATGACCTGGAAACCAGTTTTATGCAACAGGAACCTGTCAATGAACATTCGTAAGAAGGTCCTGAAATGTTATGTGTGGTCGATCCTATTGTATGGTTGTGAGACATGGACGTTAAAAACCACAATGCTAAACAAGTTAGAAGCATTCGAAATGTGGTGCTATAGACGAATCCTAAAGATATGGTGGGTTTCGCACACTTCCAATGAAGATGTTCTTCAAATGATCAACTCAGAACGTTTGCTCATAAACATCATAAAGAGGAGAAAAACAGAATACTTCGGCCATATAATTGGAGGAGCCAAATACCATTTACTTCGCCTTATAATACAAGGAAAAGTGGAAGGAAAGAGATGGATTGGTCGAAAGAAACTTTCATGGCTGCGTAATATTAGACAATGGTGTGGTTTCACAGTAGAAAAATTATTTCGCGCAGCAGCCGACAGAGAAAGGTTTCAGGAAATTCTAAACATGATGACGGCCAACGTCTGAATACGGATACGGCACCCAAAGAAGAAGAAGAAGAAGAGGCTTGGGTTGAAAGGAACTATTAGCATCATGGCATGCTAATATATACGTATTAATATATGTAATTTATAATGAATGATGGTTAAATGGCTATTCCTCTTCAATAATTCTTAATACTATTTCGTTTAATGAATATGAAAAGTAAAATCGACAAAAAAAAAGAAGATGAGGAAGACCTAAAAAGACTTAATATTGTTCTGAAGCTATTTTCTTGTGGCATTGTAAATTAATTACTATTAAACTGGGAATAAGCCACAATTAAAGATAAAAATACGTTTATTGACGTTTCAATTTCCACTGCGGAAATCGTTCTCAAAATACAAACAGTAAATTAAACAAATTTTGTTTTTTGTTACATAGTGAAAAATTCTTCTAATAATTAAATTTTTTTTTCTGGTTTTTCCCTCATAATTTACTATGGAATCACTAACAGGAGAATTTTACTGTCCTCATGTCATGTGTTTGTCTTTTTAAAGACGAATTATATGCTATGATTTTTTTCTGACGGATATTCTCAAGTTAAAGTTGATTTCATGTAATCGAATGAACTATCTTATAAGTAAAGTCGTCCCAGGAGCGCAACTCAACAATATTGGCAATATCATTTTAAAGTCATCTACTTTAAAATGCATAATGTATGTCTGAATTGTCAATATAAATGAGTCAGATAAAATTAAATTATTAGAAGAATTTTTCACTATGTAACAAAAAACAAAATTTGTTTAATTTACTGTTTGTATTTTGAGAACGATTTCCGAAGTGGAAATTGAAACGTCAATAAACGTATTTTTATCTTTAATTGTAGCTTATTCCCAGTTTAATAGTAACTAAAAAGACTTAACATAATGCAATTGCAAAGATATTGAGGCAGAACAAAAGATGGCATAAAAAGAAATAAATAGCGAAAAACGGGAAGAATTTTTCCTATGTATTTTTTAGAAATATCTCCAATTATTACGTAGAAATAATTTATCCCCCTAAATTCTACATAAACTTCATATAATAACGTATATATATACAACAAATTTCGACAAAAGAAAATAATTGACGAGATATCCCATAGACAAAAGAATTTGGAGGCCACAAATGGAAAAATTTCATTAATTACCACCTACTGCTGTGTGTGCGGACAGACTACATTTCAGCAAGGTCTGACCAGTCCGTCAAAGTCTGTCAACTGTCAAGGGTAACACGACATGCCGGTAGGAACATGCAATATTGATGAATTCGGCATATTGAGTCTGGAAAAACCTACCAATATCAATTTGTACCCAATACAAACAGGATACCAACGATACAATAAATCCTGCGAAAGAAATAGCTTTTATATAGTTTATAGAATAAATTTAATAAACTGCGAATCTATAAAATATTTTATTATAGGTTTGAATGAATTTAAGCAGTTATTTTTAACGTAAATATATAATTAAAGTTAATATATGTGGTAATTTAATTTTTTGTATAATATGTAAAAAATTAAATGACAGTAAATTTTATATATAGCAAAAGAGGTGATGATTGCGGTGATAGCTTAAGAGCAGTCGTTCGTCCACACCTTTTCCAATCTATGAGTTCTAATCACCGCATAAAAGTTCCAATACGTTAAAAAAGAATCGATACTTAAGGTCTAAGGACTTACCGGCAGAAGCTAACGGTGCCCGACATGTGTGACAAAAGCATTGCATAACGGATTCTCTTACTAGCCCGATCAGCATTTTGACGGTTTTTTGTTATTAATTCGTTCACAACCACTGATACCGCTCCTGATGAGGGTTTTGATGTGTTTGCCGAAAATTGCGTTACTTCCGTAATAAACTGACCGCCTTTTCCGTTGATACTGACGGAAAGGGGAGAACCAAGGAACCAGGAATAGAGAATGGAGGGCGGTGTTGTCGCGTCGAGGTGGAAAACGGCGCGGACAACCAGGGGTGGATGGCTGAAAGGGCTGGAATTTCCCAAAAGATGTGACACAAGTCTAAACACGGGAAATTTTGTAATAAAATTGAAGGAACTAGTGCTTATCCCTAAAATTTTTTTCCGGAAGATATGATTTTAATATTTCTGTGTTTACTTGGCAAAATTGGGCTTAATTTATATAAGGTAACAATCTGAAAATTTCCCATCATTAGTATCATCATTCTCGAAAATAATATGAAAAATCAAAAACACAAATTTTGTTTTCAATGACAAAACTTTCAGTAAATATTTTTAGTTCGTAAGGTCGAAATCCTCGCAAGTCTTATTACCCTTACAATTTTAAAATTGGAGTCAAATGACACACGATTTTAAAGAGAGATAGAGAGATAGAGAGATAGATAGATATATTGGTCTGCAATGGTAGCTTAATTAGATATTTTTCTTCAACAGTTTTATTCTTAAAAATCAAAAATCTTAATTTTAGCCTTTATAGAAGGCCCACCTTCAGAACCTCACAATATTTTGTCAATAATTAATAATCTACATCCTGCAATTAATTTTACCTTAGAAGTAGAAAGTAACAACATTATCAACTTTTTAGACCTAACTATCAAAAAGAATGCTTCCTCCTCTTCTTCTTTGCCTACACTAGAATTTTCAATATTCAGAAAACCTACTCAAACTGACCATATGATACCAACATCATCAAATCACCCTTTTCAACACAAGATGGCAGCTATTCAATGTTATGTCCACAGACTTCTTAATATCCCTATGTCTCAAGAAAATTACAATAAAGAAATCTCCATCATTAAACAGATAGCAAACAACAATGGTTTTCCTTCTACTACTGTTGATAAAGTCATTAGAAAATCTATACTCAAAAAGAGACTAAACCGAGCTTTTAATGTTGATAAAAAATCCAACACTACTTCCCTATATAGAGCCTTAACTTACTTAGGACCAATTTCAGAAAAAATTTCAAGAGTACTTGTTAATAAAATTAGTGACTTAAACATCTCCTTTAAAACCAAATATAACATCAAGTCCATCTTCAGCAAGACCAAAGACAAAGTTGACAAACTAAACAGAAGTGGTATTTACAAGCTGTCCTGTGGTGACTGTAATATGACTTATGTAGGTAGAACAATGAGAACTCTGAATCAAAGAATCAAAGAACACCTCAATAACCCAGAAAAATCAAACTTTGGATATCACATTAAATTTAATAATCATTCCTTTTCTCCTTCTGAAAACAGTAAAATTTTACACAACATTCCAAATAAAAACTTTAGACTCATGAATCTCTTGGAAGATCTATAGATATCCAAAGAAATGAAACTAAACCCAGATTGTTGCTTAAACACACAAATCAACCTCAATTGCAACTATAAACCTCTTTTTAAATTATTATGGGAGACTTTAGAGGAAGAAGGATGACCTCATGCAATCTTATTATATATTTTTCATACTTTTATATTTTTAAACAAATTTTAAACTTTATTAGAAATTTACAACATTTTGTAATTCATTTGACAGTTATTCTTAATTGAAACATGAAAATACATTCTTAAAAAATTTTTTATGCAAATTTCTTACAATTTTCCATCAAGAGATACAATTCTCAATACACTTAAGTATCAGATAACTTAACATTAATACCATGTTTCTTCTTTATATTGTTGTTGAACAATTTGAGCCCTTGTTTCTTAAGGATGGCTGTCAGATTGAACATACATTGACCTTGAGCAATGACTTGAGTTAATTTACAAACTAATGTCATTCTGTATGATGTGATGAACACAAAAAATTTAATTTAAAAACTTAATTTTTAGAAAGTCTTTGATGACTATTAGTAATTCCAAACTACTAAATAATTTTGTAAGAATTTAAAAAACAATCTCTATTTCCTATATATGACATTTGTCAACTGTCACTTTTGAAAAATCGTTTAAAAGGACCGACATTTGATTTCATTAGTTCTATTCTGTCTGTCTACCTCCTCACATCAATCAATGGTCGGGTTCTTATACCCGTACCATGACAAAAATTTTTTTTTCAATTTTTTAACAGTTCACATCGATACTCCATACCGAGCGGACGTTAAATGGTTCTCTGTTATCAACATTCGACCGGTTTTCTCGATTTGAACAGATAAATGTGAAGTGATTAAAAAGCAATCAATTAGTAATAGACTTAAAAATAATAAACTCATCAAATTAAATTTAAAAACAATACAGTAATTTATTTATAATGTTTCCAACGGGAAATGGACCAGGATTCGACAACTACATAGTTAGCCAACAAATACAAAATGTAAACAGCCAGCCATTACCAATCCAGTATCCATCAAACCAAATGAATTGTTACCCACAAATGCAGATTCCAAACAACACACAGGGTCAATCACAAATCAACAATATACAGGGTTATCCACAAATCTCATCACAAATACCAGGTATGTACAATATGCAAATAAATCAACCAACCACTAATTCTTCGACGAATATGATATTTCCGCCCAATCAACAACAATATATAAATCAACAAAACGCGGCACACAACAGCAATATAAATAACAGAAATAGCCAGCAATACTACAGAATGTCATCAACAAGCGATGACGAACCAGAAAGTGCAAATGTGTCAACAAATAACTCATGGCAAGTAGTTAAAACTACAAAACGCAGAAAAATCAGATCAAATGTAGAAACAGACAAAGAAGATGATACCATTACACTATCGAACAAATATAATACCCTAACGGATACCCAAGAAAATGAAACCAATCAAAATGAAACAGCGCCAAGAATACCTAAACCACCACCAATATTTGTTTACGATGTAAACGACTTCCCAGAAATGAGGAAAAAATTTACAGAAATAGCTGAAGCTGAACAATACGAAACCAGAACTATGGCAAATAATACAGTCAAAATAATTTGTAGCGATCCAGAAATATACAGAAAATTCTCCAGATATATGAGAGAGAACAACATTATTCATCACACATATCAACCAAAGGAAGAAAGGGCCTATAGAGTCGTAATTAAATACCTTCACTATTCACATGCAACAGAAGACATCAAAGAAGAACTGACAAAACTGGGTCACAAGGTAAGAAACATCATTAATGCTAAACATAGGATTACAAAAGAGCCGATAAATATGTTCTTTGTTGACCTTGAACCATCAGACAATAACCAAGATATTTATAAAATTCAGAAACTACAACACTGCAATATACAAATTGAACCACCTATTGTCAGATATTACCTTTACTTGAAACAATTTGGTGGATGAAAGGCTTAGTGGTATTGGGCCACGAAAAAGAAGAAAAATAATAGACTATGAAGTATGCTATGAATGTTAAGTTGTTGTTGTTATTGCAAGTATGTCAATAAATATAATTTTAAATAACTGTAACTAATTCTGTATGTATACAAATAAAAACCAAATCCAACATACGCAAACCTCTTAAAACGGGTAGTTTTTTGGTGGTGCGACATTGTGGCGACCGTGACAGGACTTTTTGAGTTGGATTTCGGTGTGACTTTTGTAGTTGTGGGCCAGTGAGTTTTTACCGCGTTCTTTGGTTTGTGATTTGTATTGAGAACGTTTCGGTGGTTTTGAACCAAACGCACTATGGCAGCAGAATTGGAAAATAGAAAGAAAACCAGAAGAGTACTAAGGGCTATTTTTACGCGTACGGCCAACGAGTTAGAAGGTCTTATGAAAGCAGAACCATTGGACTACGAGTCAATAGAAGTGTCCTGGGAACTGTTAAAATGTAAGTTTGAGGAGTTACAGTCAGTTGATTCCCAAATTACTGAATTATCATTTGAAAGCTCTACTGAGGCGGAGCTAGAAGCAGAGATAGAGAGTTGTGATGTATATTTGAGAAAGTTTTCCAAATGTAGAACCAGATATAACAAGCTGATGGAAGAAACGAAAACTGAAGCATCCAGCAGACATAGTGTAGTGTCCCAGAATACAGATGAGCCACAACTAACAGGTATGAGAAAATTTAGATTACCTACTATTGAATTTAAAAAATATGATGGCAGTATCAAAGGTTGGTTGGCATTCTGGGCACAATTCAAAAAGATTCACGAGGATGATTCTATTGATTGTCATGATAAGATAGAATATTTAATTCAAGCCACAGTACCAGGTAGTAGAGCACGTCAACTAGTAGAAAGCTATCCAGCTATGGCTGACAATTATGGTAAAATTATGGAAAGTATGCAAAGCAGGTTTGGCAGAGAAGACTTACAAATAGAAGTATACATTAGAGAGTTACTAAAACTCATTTTGAGTAAGTCTGTGTCTAAACAAAAGATTGATATATCTAAACTGTATGACAGCATTGAAACTCAACTGCGAGCACTGGAGACATTAGGTATCACATCTGACAAGTGTTCAGCAATGCTCTTTCCATTAATTGAATCTTGTTTACCTCAGGAATTGCTTAGGGTGTGGCAACGCTCCACAAATATTGATCATAGAGATGGGACATTGGAAAACAGGTTGAAACTGTTGATGACTTTTCTCAGAAATGAAGTAGAGAATGAACAAAGGATTGCTTTAGCTGCTGAAGGTTTTGGACTGTCTGAAGAAGTGGCTTCATCCTCTAAAGCTAGTGTCAAGAGGTCATCAGGTTTTCCAACTGCTGCTAATTTAATTAATTGTGAAATATCAGCTTGTGTCTTTTGTTCAGGTACACATGGTAGTGAAGATTGCTTTAAGGCACAAAAAATGACATTTGTTCAAAAAAAGGATGTTCTCATTGGGAAGA